TAGAAGCACAGAGCATTGATGGAATTAGGGCGTGCATGGGAAGTAAGTGGGTGCTTACATCCTGTGGTCCGGACTGGTGAGTGGTAAGGCCCTGGGGAAGCTGTGCCTGCCTGTGCTTTGCCTGCCTTACCTCCCACAGCTGGGCAGGTGGTTAAAGGCCAACTGTGGCTGCCTCTTTGTGCATACACCCCCAGCTGGAGGGCTGCCCACCTTCCCAGGGTGGGGCTGAATGGGAGACCGTAGGGAGTGGACTGCCAACAGGACACTCGGGTTCTTGTCCTGGTCCATCACTGCCTCACAGAGGCACCTTGGTCATGTTCCTTCTCCTTTTAAGTTTCATTCCCATCATTTGTAAAACGGGAAATTAAACAAGGTAATTTTTCAAGATATCTTCAAGCTTTAATCTGGAGTGTGTTGGCAGATCTCAAACAGGGTAGGTAGATGGAGACCATAATCATTTCTGAGGGCTGTCATTGCATATGTGATCTCATGTAAATATCATAACCCTGCAAGATGCAGCATTGTTCCCTACAGATGAGAAAACCTTAGCTTAGAGAGCTTGAAGCACTTGCCCAAGGACTCACAGCTAGTAAGTGTGACCTTAGGCCAACGTCTTCTCAACTCTATGCCATATCCCGAGTCCCTCTGCGGGAGCAGAGGATGTGGCTAACCCACCCTGGCTGGGGAGGGCTGAAGTGGAGAGAGCAAGAGGTGACAGCCAAGCTGAGTTCAGAAGGGGCCGAATCTGCCAAAGAAGTGCATCCCAGGCAGAGGGGCCAGTGTGGACAAGGCACAGGAGCCCCAATGGACATGACAAACTCAACTCTTCCTCTAGAGAGTGTAGGGGTTGGACCCCAGTCTCTGAGTCCCCCTTCTATTCTGACATTCTTCCATTCTGAACCACTCTTTGCTCAGGGAAGCAGGGGTCTTTGTACCGGAATCTGAGTCTGATCTGCACACTGACCATCTTTTGTAGCATTCAGCACAGCCCAGGTCCCAGAACCCCACACCCCCTTTTTATGCAGTAGAGGCGGAGGTGAGCCTAGCTAGTTATGAGGCCTAATTGATGTTGGGGAGGCTCCTGGAGCACTCAGTGAAAGGTGCCCCGTAAATCTCAGACACTGAAGACTTCTGCCACATTCATCACAGTGTTTAATGTCCTGATTGATCTCTGGGGTAGTCCATTTCATTTGCTTGTTTCAGGATGAATAGACAGCCTGCGCCCCTATGCTGAAGCCTGGGCTCTGCATAAAATTGTGCCAGTGCTGTGTCTCTGGTAGCTTGCAATAAATTTTAGCAGCAGATGTTCCATCATTTTCTTCAGATAATTAAATTAACTGCTCACCAGGAGATAACAAAAAACTCAGCACCACACGAAAAAAAAAAAAAAAAAAAATCTAGAATAGTTATGTATTCCTCTTTCAGTTAATGTTGGGGGAAACGTAGGGTTTTGGCCTGTTCTAGAAAAGGAAGGGACTCCCTGGGTGATGCAAATGGTTAACATGCTTGGGTGCTAACAGAAAGGTTGGAGGTTTGAATCCACTCAGAGGTGCCTCGGAAGAAAGGACTGGCGATCTACTTCCCAAAACTCAGCCACCAAAAACCTTATGGAGCACAGTTCTACTCTGACACACATAGGGTCACCATGAGTTGGAGTTGATTCGATGGCAGCTTGTTAGGAAAGGGAGAGGAAGGCAGATACGGCCTCCCATATGGGGAACAACAGCGTGTTCACCTACGCGGGGGACCCTAAGGCATTGTTTAAAGGGGTGCGTGAGCAGGGATGAGCTCAGGGAAGGAGCAGGAAGTTCCTAGGCTGGCTTGGGGGGCTGGAGAAAGGGGGAGTGGTACACACATCCTTTCAGCCTCTCAGCACCCATACTCCCACCACCACCACACCCAACTATCAGTGGCAGAAAATGAAGTAACAGCATCTCCTGGACAGCCTTCCCCAGAAGTGCTGGCTGTGGGCTGGCAGTGAAACACCCCAGCATCTATTATTAATAAGGACGCCTTCTCTTTGTGTCTCCCTTGAAACACTCTCCAAGGGCTTTCCCTTCCATTATGTCATTAGCTATCCCAGCAACCCTGGCAGGGGTGGGGGGCACAGAAGTTATTATTCCTGTTGTACAGAGAGAGGAGGCAGGTCCAAGAATATGCTTGGAGCCACATAGCAAACGAGAAACAGGATTGGGCTGGGAATACAGGTGCCCAGGTTTTGACTCACCCTATATGCTCAGCAGCACCTGGGGGAGTGAGGCAGGGATGGAGGGGATGGAGGGAACCATCCAGATGTCTCTCCAGCCATGAGATGTCCATTTGAACCTGGACTTGCTTGTTTGGGCCCCAGAGTGGTTGTTGGGGGCCCTCGTTAAGCAACTCTACACAGGCGCGGGCTGGGCACAGGGTCCTGTTGGCTTACTAGTAAGATCCTCTCCTTGGAAGAAGGCATTTGCAGACTTCAACTCACTTGTGGCTACCAACACCTCTCAGAGAGTAGGGCTCAGCTCTTAGTCTCCTCTCCTTAGAGATGAGGAAATAGCCCCCGAGACGAGCATGGCGGCGTTCTCTTCACTCCGGCTTCAGTCAACAGTTGTCTTGGAGTGAGGAGGAATGAACACTGCCACACTGAAGAGGATTCAGGCTGCTCACCTCCAACCAGGTCCCTGGGTAGTGCAAATAGTTACTATTGGCAGTTCAAGCCCACCCAGAGGCACTTCAGAAGAAAGGCCTGGCAATCTGGATCCGAAAGGTCACAGCCATGAAAACCCTATGGAGCACAGTGCTACTCTGATGCACATGGAGTCGCCACAAGTTGGAATCAACTCGATGGCAAATGGTTTGGTTTAGCCTCTAACCACGCAAGGAGAAGCTGTGAAAATCCCCCTAGTCTGTGTGACTTGATCTGAAAAGCCAGGCTTTGGGCTGGAGGCCTGGCCCGGGGCTGGCTGGAGGAGGACCAGCTGTGCCACTCTGGAGGCCTTGCTGCTGCCCAGTCCGGGCGGGCTTGGGGCCAGGGCTTTGGGCTCTGGCCCAGGCTCCCCTGTGGGCCGGCCACCAGCATTGCTGGCTCCAAGTCCTGCTGTCCTCACTGCCAGCCTTGCCATGTCAGAGTGGCACCATGGCCACGGGCTGGCTGAGCGGGAGGCTGCCTCTGTAGGAGGGGCACTGGGGAGACTGCAGAGAGGGCTGGCTGGTCACTCCAGCCTGAAGGGTCCGTGGCCCCTCAGGCATCCTTCTCCTGGACACCTGCCCTTGTTGGGGTCCAGTGTCCTGATTTTCATCTCTGGCTCTCTTGATGGCACCTTGTTTGATTCCAGGCAGCTCATTTGACCATTTTCATCAGCAGGGCATCTCGGACCAGACAGACCTAGGTTTGAATCCTGCCACCGCCGTCTGGCTGTGTGCCCTCGGGCAAGTCTTTTCATTATTGTAGGCCTCAGTTTTCTCTGTCAAACAAGGACAACAGCACCCACTTTGCAGGGCTGTGATAAAGAGCAAAGACTGCATGGAATACCTGTCACAGCAGGAAATGAATAAGTGGTAGCCATTGCTGCTATCATCACTGGGGACAGAGGCTGTTACCCAGACCTCCCTCCCTTCTGGGAGAACCCAAAACCAGCTCCCCTGGCCCCCAGAGTGGGCTCTCTGAAAGGGTGGATGAGCAAAGGGAGCCGTTTCCCAGAGCTGCAAACCTCCCAGGGCTCCATCCACCCCAGCTGCCTGCCAGCCATAACTCCACGCTACGGTCACACAAGGAGCCATACAAGCCAGAGCTCTCTCTCCATCTGCACTCAGCCCGCTAGGCCCCTGGCGGAGACCAGCATCCTGCCCTGTGGACGGTGGTAGCGGTCAGGGCGGCTGTGGCTGGAGCCCCGCAGTTGACCGTGGCCTAGCCTTTGCTCCCCACTGGAAGGAGGGCAGGGTGGGCCAGCAGGAAGAACTGCTGCTCTTCCTGTCTCTGGGAGTCCCTCTCTGCAGGCTCCTGGTAATAGACACAGCCCCTGATGCCCTGCAGGCACCTCAGACACCAGACTGGGATGGAGCACTGGGCCAGGGAGCAGAACTGGGACGGGGGTGGGGGGGCGGCGAGAGAGAGAGAGAGAGAGAGAGAGAGAGAAACAGAGTGTGTGAAGCAAAATGACAAACTCCATTTTGGTGGGGAGACCCCGGAGGGGAAGGGGCTGGTCCAGGGACACTCAGCAAGGAAGTGTGAGAGCTTCCTGCCTCCTCCAAGGCTCCCCCCAACTCTGTAAAGGCCTCAGGGCTGCCAGAGAGGGGTTGGGGCTACCTGAGTGGGCCTTCACTTCACCAGACCCAACCCAAACCCAAAGGAGCCCCTCCAGATACCTTCGCCTGGGCCTGGCAACCAAAGGAAAACCCCGTCCACTGAAGTCTCAGTGCAGTTGGTTTTTATTATTAAAGCCAAGGTTGGAAAATGGCTGTCTCCCCTCCCCCTGCCCCTCCACCCTGCCCCCCAACCCCAGCCACCCCCTTTATGTCCTGGAAAGATGAAAACTAGATTTGTCTTGAAAATACTCCAAAACGCTCATGCTGAGATGAGGATGAGGACTAACAGAATAGGCTCAGATGGTGGTTTCTGTGATTGTGTTGGCTCCACCCAGGCTTCCTGGGTGGCAGGGCTGGAGGCCCCTGCTCACAGTGCTGTTCCTGATCCCGAGGGTCCGGGCTGGGTGTCAGGAACGAAGGCAACGGAAGAGACTGAGCTGGCCCCCGTGCTCCACCCTGCTGAAGCTGGGCCACCAGCTGGTTTTTGTAAAAATGGTTAAAAAACCCCAGCCATGAGCACCACTCTCCCCTGGGTAGGCGAGAGGAGGTGCCAGCTCTGGGTTTTGAGGTCTGAGGCGTGTGGCCTCCTGGCCTGGTGTCACCTCCCTGGAGGCAGGCAGCACCTGAGGGAGGCCAGGCGGGCTCCTGGGCCCCACGCATGGCCCCTGGAAGCCTCCAGGGCCCCAGGAGAGCTTCAAGATGGCTGTCTCCCTTCCTCCCACCCAGCCTGCCTGGCAGCTCTAGGCCTCAGGGACCCTGTGCAACTTTTGCTCTTTGGATTCCAAAGATGTGAACTTCTCCTCCAGCGCGGGAGCCACGGGCTGGAAGTGGATGACAGGCTTGATCTGAAAGACAGTGAAGCTCTCCTGGTTCTTCTGGTTGAACAGACTTACCCTGTGCTCCAGCTCAGGGCTAGTTTGGGTCGAACCCGCTGGGCTGGGCCGGGTGATGGGGGCTGGGTCCAAGGCCCTCTGGGACGGGCAGGGGTACTCCGACAGGGAGGACAGCAAGTCCTGGACTGTGGCCTCCGCCAGCTGCTGCTGGGGAGGTGGAGGTGGCAGCGGCGGCAGGGAAGAGGGGCCAGGCTCCGAGGACGGCTCCTCACGGGCAGTGCTGCAGTCTGTGGAGGAGCCCAGTATCTGGCTGCTGTCGCTCTGGGCCCGGGTGACTGAGCTGCGCGCGGAGTGGGAGGCGCTCTCGGAGGTGGCGCTGGTGCAGGTGCCATTGCTGCCTTGCTTCAGGGGCACGTCAGCCGAGAAGAGGTCAGAGGAAACGTTGGGCTGGTGGATGTCTATGGCAGCCGTGGTGACCACGCACACAGCTGGCTCTGGGACCCCACTGTCTGCAAGAGAGCAAGGAGACGCCAGTCACACTCCACCCTCTGCCACGCCTAGTGGGTCCTGGTGAGGACAGCTCTGAGCAGAGCCCAGGTCTAGGAACAGGGCCAGGGCTGGGGGAGTGGGCAGGACACGCCTGTGTGGAGCGAGGCTGTGCTGGATGGCTCTGCTGTTGTTGTTGCTAATTACCATCCAGTAGGCTCTGACTCATGGCAACCTCATGAACAACAGAACAAAACATTGCCTGGTCCTGTGCCATCTTCACAATCATTGCTATTGTCCATTATTGAGGCTATTGTGTAGTACCTTCCAACCTAGGGGGGTCATCTTCCAGCACTATACAGGACAATATTCTGTTGTGATCCATAGGTTTTCCTTGGCTAATTTTTGGAAGTAAATCACCAAGTCTTTCTTCCTAGTTGTCTTGGTCCGGATTGCTCTGGTTCGCCAATATTTGCCACCCTGAGGGAGGATTTTGCTCCCTCATCTTGTTGAAGTCAAGTGTAGACAAGTGACCTGCTTTGGTCAACAACCCATACGAAAAAGTGACCTGTGGCACTTCTGGGTTGAAGCTTTATGAGACGTCAGTGCTTCGTCCTGGCACCCAAGGATATCCTAGAATAGATGGTGGCTGCTCTGTCCACTGGGTGTTGGAGTGAGGATGATGACATGGGAGCAGAGCTCCCCATGGGCCATGAGCCTTTGCTGCTTTATTTAAACCACTGAGATTTGGGGGTTATTTATCACTGCAGCATAATCTAGCCCATCCTGACTATCTCAGAAAGCATGGTGTACCAGGACAAGGAATTTGGGCTTCTCAGTCTGAGGGAGCCATTCAAAGTTTTAAATGGCGACAGGGTGGGGTGTTGACACAGAGTTTGTGCCTTCAAAGATTGATATGTCTCTGTAGGATGCACTGCAGGGGGAGGCCAGAAGGTTTTTATTCTAAGGAGCCCTGGTGGCACAAATGGTTAAGTGCTTGGCTGCTAACCAAAAGGTTGGTGATTCAAACCCACCCAGTGGCTCTACTGGAGAAAGACCTGGTGATCGGCTTCCGTAAAGATTACAGCCAAGAAAACCCTATGGGGCAGTTCTAATCTGTAACACATGGGGTCACTATGAGCTGGAATTGACTCAACAGCACCTAACAATAACAATGTGGGAAAGGTTTCTTCCCCAAATTATAGAGAGAACAGATGGAGAGAGAGGTCTGGGAGAGATATTGTGGTCTTTGAAAACAGCAGATTAGATGAGGCTTTGAGAGAAGGAAGACAAGAGTGAAGAGACCTTAAGGGGCTAAACTGTGGAAAGGAAAAAATGTAAATGTCTTATACATCTCCTAGAAACCCTCATGACGCAGTGGTTAAGAGTTCGGCTGCTAACCAAAAGGTCGGCAGTTGGAATCCCCCCGCTGCTCCTTGGAAACCCTATGGGGCAGTTCTACTCTGTCCTATAGGGTTGCAGTGAGTTGAAATCAACTCGATGGCAACAAGTTTTTTTTTTTGGTTGTTTGTTTTTTTTAACGTATCGCAGGACATAACATTCTAGCCTTATAATGACATATACAAGGATTTGAGGGTTGTGAAACTCAAACTACAAGATCTGAGACATCTGCTATGGACAGACAAGATGGTGAAGAACAGTGTAATTTAAAAACTCAACCTTTCCCGTAAGTTAAAACCACTAGGCTTCCCTGGGACTTTTTCACGTGCAAGAATGCAACATGAATCAAGCAAGGACATGCCCACAGCCTGCTGCTTCTCAAGCCCAGTTACACTACATTATCTTACTCTCCATCACTCTCACCCCGAAAGCTGTTCAGGTTTGAAGACACTGAGTTCACTTAGAGTTCTAGGCTCTAGAACACTTTGCATTTCAGGGTACCATACACAGCCCCTACCAATGACCACAGAGCACCCCAGCCCAGCACCGCAGCCTCAGCCCTCAGGCCCCTTCAGCTCCTCAGCGCTAGAGTTTGCCGGGAGCTGAACTTGCCTTGTTCTCTGCCTGCACTTATGGTTCACAGGCACCGGGGCAGGCCTTGATCTTTGAAGCCAGGCTGAGCTGTCCCTAGCCTCGATTTTAGGGGTTACTGGAGGTCACATGTGGCGTGTGGCTGCGACAGAGGTTCCAGGACATGCAGGACAGCCCCAAGACGGTCAAGACTTACCGCTGCTGGGCCCACTGTAGTACTGCCTGATGTAGCTGTTCATGTCGTCTCTCACCGCGGCGTCTACGGAGGTGAGGATAGAGACAGGTGAGTATAACAGCTTGTCAGAGAGCCCAAGAGATGGGGGGCTGTAGCCAGTTCATGCTCCACCCCAGTGCTCCTGTTCCCAACCCCACGGTCGTTAAGAGGAGACACGTGCCTCACAGCAGCTCTTTGTCCGTGTATGACAGGGGTGCCTCCTAATTCTCCATGAGTAGCTGCAAACTAGAAGTGTTGGATACATACTTACCACGATTTTTTTTTTGTAAAAAATGAGACTAATAAATTAAAAACAAAAAAGAAGTGTTGGGACCACGTATGTCTCATTCACCCCAGGCACTGAACTGCACTGGGTACCAGGGGACCCCAATTCTGACGAAGCACTGAGTTTGTAACATGACGTGGACACGGCCCTTTCCTTCTCTGTCCTCAGTTTCCCCATCTCTGAGATGGGGTGTGGAAAATGGCTCCTCAGGGCTTTCTCCATCCATATGACTTCAGTCTCTGAATCCCCCAAAGGTCACAGGGTCACTGGAGATGCTGCCCTCAGTGCAGAAGGCTCGAGTGCCCCATTTGCAAGAGCCTCAAGCACCCCGTTTGCAGAAGCCTCGGGTGCCCCGTTTGCAGCAGCCTCGAGCACCCTGTTTGCAGCTGCAGGGGCTGGTGCCTCACAGACAGCCTCCTCGGCTTAGTCCACATGCAGCACAGGGATGGCCCATGGGGCTGTGCGTGCATCACCGGGTCTCTACCACCTGCCCAGTTCCTGGCCCAGGGTAGGTGCTCAGTAAATAATCACTGGGTGAGTAAGCAACTGAGAAGGTGAAAAGCTGTCCAGATCAAAGGAGAAGACACGGCAACTGGGTCTTAAAAGAAATACTGGTTCATCAGCCTGTCAGGAGCAGGAAGGGCATCTGAGGCTGAGGGGATAGGAGAGAGGAGCGGTGAGAAGTTCAGAGTGGCCTGAGTGTGGGAGGAAAGGCAGGTGATAGGAGACTCCCATAGTCATCCGAGGAGCTTGGTCTTGCCCCAAAGGTGGTGAGGAGGTACGGGAAAGTCTGAATGTGGTCAGGTGTGATTTATAGAGGCTACTCGCCAGAGTGTGGGGAAAGTGGTGTGGAAGGTGCCAGGCAGGAGGACCAGAGGCCAAAATGCCCAGGGGAAGGTGACAGGCCCTGCAAGGGTGGGTGCTGCCTGATGGGGCAGAGTGCGGGTTGAGGTTGAGTAGCGATCTGGCAGGGCTTAGAGAGTGACAGGAATGGGACCCTTGGCTCCATTTGGCAGTTTGTCAGACTGAGTTCAGGGATTGCTCCTTTAGCCCTGTCGGGTCCTGGCGTCATGAAGACCAGTTGCCAAGGAGTTCTACCCCATGTTTGTCAGTAGAACTGTGCTCCATAGTGTTTTCA